CTGATCGCTGGAAATATACTTCGAATTTGTCAAGAACAAGTGCAGTTGCAAAATTTTGACACAGGTTTGAAATGCTTTCTCTATTTTTCTGTCCTGATAAACGCAGTGGAAGTGATATAGCAGTAGATAACAAGGGGTGAAAGAAGCTACATCAGTGAACACACTGATTTTGATCGGGCATTTTGAAATGCCATCACTCTCTCTTTGCGTCATTACTGTTGCGGTAGCGTATAGTGGGCAGTTATGCCCCACTATAGAGTGCAGCCCTAGCACCCAACTACAAGAAGCACCTCTTATAGAATGCCACTCTTGGTTTATGTCAGCGAACAGCCAATAGAAGCAATTTGCTGCATGACGCCACACAGCAGCCGCCAGAATTTGCAAAGTAAGTGATTGCGAGCCTCAGTATAACCGAGGGCACTTGTAGACTCTACTTGCTGTGCAAGGACAGCCAGATTTGTCTGAGGTTCACAGTAGCAACTACTTCCGCTGCTCAAAGTTTTTCTCCAAGCACGAAAGATGGTTAAGGACTTCTGTAATACAATGTGGCCGTGCTTTTGGCAGCTCATTTGTACATAACAAATTGTGTTCATGAGAGAGGCGTCCATCGGCTTCACAGGGGTTGTCACAAAGCAGCAATGTGCATATGTCGCAAGAACAATAGACTTCATCAAACTCACTCAAGAAATATATCTTGCACTTAGGACTCATTCAAACTCGCGAAACTTTCTCAGCCAGACTCACACTCCGAAACTATCTCCAACCAGACTCAAACTCGTCAAAAAGATTACACATCATGACTCGCTCAGACTCACGGCTCAAGCTGAATGAGTCCAAGCGAGTCTACTCATGAGTTCGCGGACCTATGGTCATATGTGACTTTGGTCCATTTCAAATGATAACCATACTTTAACACCACTGAAATTCTATTAAATTCTAAAGGTAGATTTTGCATGACATCATAGATGCAGCTTTTCATGAAGTTGCTAACCCAAATATAGTGCCATGATGACGTCAGTAGTCGATATTGTCACAAGCTAATTATTATATTTCTTGATGGCGACCCCTTTTACTGAAGTATCAATCATTGTTTTTGTCAGTTTAACTCAGGATATGCCTGTCATACACCTTGTTTGTGCAGCTGCTTAACATACTGAAAATAATAAGGTCTGAGGCTTAGCGTTCCAAAACCATGATATGATCATGATAGACACCTTTGTGGGTGGCTGCGAAAATTTCAACCACTGTTTTTTAACACGCACCAACATCACACGGTACATGCAGCCACTACATTCTGCCTCCATTTAAATTCGCCGCCAAAGTCAGGATCGAAGCCGCGACCTTGAAGTCAGCAGCCAAGCACGTTAAACACTACAGCACTGGTGGTTAACATGCTACATGTATGGTAATAGAACATGGCGACCTTTATGACATCAGCAAAAACAATTTCCACGTTGTTACTTTCATCTTCAGACACAATTTAATCAGTTGTCAGTCTATTTCTGAAACTCTGTAAATAATCCCACACAGTAATACTCTGCTTGTAGTGAAAAAAATTATTAGTGGTAATGAAAGCATGAAAATCAAGTATGCCCCTAATTTTCATGCCACACAAACATGAAAATAGATGCAATACATTTGAGAGTTATTGCCAGAATCTTACGGCTGTAAACAATAGCAAAAGATACTTCATCCAGTGCAAGAACTGTTTGCAAAACAATTATTTTATTGGCTATACTATTCTCACCTTGAGACACAATTAATCAGTTGTCAGTTTCTTTCTGGCACACTGTAAATAAATCTCACACAGTAATACTCTGTCTGTATTAAAAAAATAATATTAGTGTAAATGAGAGCATGAAAATCGAGTATGCACTTAAACGTTCATGCTCTCATTCCCACGAGAATAAAAAGATGCAATACATTTGAGAGTTATCACCGAAATCTTATGCAGTAAAACAATAGCAACACATACCTCCAACCAATGCAAGAACTGTTTGCAAAACAAGTTTTTCCATTGGCTATACAACAACTACTACACTGCAGCATTTAATTTTTGAAGTGAACCACTTGAACCACTCAGGTGGCAGAATACGTATAACGGTGCATACTTCCTTAGTGACTCAGCAGCATGAATGAAACAAAGCTAAGCTGTACTGGTAAATCTACTGACATGGAGCACGTCCCAGCTATCTTGGGCTAAAATACTAAATTACGAAAAATACCAGTGAGGTACAGAAAGTAACTAGTAGCATTTTGCTAGTGGTCCCCTCTAGCATAATTATAATTTTTTTGTTGTGACCCTTAGGTACTTAGAGAAAATAGTGCCTAAACAATGCTTTTTAACAGCTGTGCAAATTTCGGGCATTTTAAATATTGTGACATTTCATTTTGGATTGAATTTAAGGCTATCATGCTACAAAGATTGTAGCTCGTGACATCATTCCTCACAGTTTTGTGCGGATTTTGTAGCCAAAAATGCAAAAACAAAATATGCACGAGACAACAGCATGTGCTTTCTTTCAGCTAAACTTTCATACAATCTTACAAGGAACAATGTCGCAAGCCGGAAATTCTTTATTGTCATGTCTTCAAATGGAAAGGGTAAATTTTTTCATTTATATCAGTGATCATCATACATGCAATTAAACTTTACTCGTGAACCAGCAGGGAAACCAAAAAATTACCAGTGTGCGAAAGACAACTATAACGAATTGCCAGTGGTTTTGAAAGACAGAGATGGATGGAATGCCTGTCATCTTCCTCTACGTTTCATCCCAGACTGAATCCTAAGATCATAGTAGGCGCGCAGTGCGAGGCCATCTTCGTCTTCCATTTCACATCATCCCAACCGTGACTAAGAAGAAAAAAAGATAGAATGACCCTCAAGCGAAAAAAATGGGATAGCACAATACAACACAATGATGGTCACAACAGCTCGCTTCCTGTTTAACATGA